TTGATATTGTGAGTGCACACAAATAAAAATAGACCCTTTACAGTTCCGAACAATGTATTATTCTTACCCTTATGAGCAAAAATGATGGCGTATTAAATTTGTTTCCACTGATGTCCTGAAGCGCGCTTCAGCTTCCACTCTCCGCACAAAATGAGTTTTCGTGACCATGGCGTACAGCAACTTGACCTGAGCGTGCTAAATAGGCTAAAACTTGCTGCAAAAATTACCATGACTATGTTGGGGGAAAATAGTAAGGAGATATTTGAATTATTTATTAATAAACAAGTGTTTTATGAGTCAGTGTCGCTATGAAGTTGATGATCCTGACTCGCCATCTCATCATTGGACGCGCCTTTAGAAAGAAATGCATCTTTACGGATTACGTTAGGTTATGGATTTGAATTATTTCGTTCGTTAGTCATTTAAAGCTTTCTATAGATATATTCATCAAGTCTGTAGGGAAAATATTAGCTGAGTTTCGGTGCATTTTTGTGAAGCGCTCCTGTTCAAGACAGAGACGGCAAGCGCATCCTATTTGTTTTCTTTATTTTACAAAAGCACAGTTTTCTTGATATTGTGAGTGCACACAAATAAAAATAGACCCTTTACAGTTCCGAACAATGTATTATTCTTACCCTTATGAGCAAAAATGATGGCGTATTAAATTTGTTTCCACTGATGTCCTGAAGCGCGCTTCAGCTTCCACTCTCCGCACAAACGATTGGATATGCACCTAATAACGCACATTTATATTGGTTAAATGTTTAAACTAACATTGTGATATGCTTTAAGTATTTTATATCTGTAGATTTTATTTTCGGCAAGTCGTAATTACAACATCGTATGACATTGTCTAATATGATGCATTGTGTTGCATCGCGCCGTGTAAACATAAAACCATGTCTGCATTTGTAATCTGAGAAATGACAAACAACAAGTGCTACTCTACACTGCTCAAAACTCACGTTTGAATCATCAGTGGCAAATCCTTTAAATATGAAAAACGTACTTACAGTCTTTGAGTCAGAACAGATTCATTGTAGTCTACTCTCCCAGGAAACAGTCCTCCATAAAATGCATTGCACACATCTGAATATTTCTATATATAAATCTGAATATTGTTTAGAAGAATGTTTAAATCCAGAGAAATAAGCAATTTTAACTAGTGACACGGACCGTGTCTATAGTGTCATTGTGTCGCCTGCCAATGACGTCATACACCCTCGATTTCCGGTTTTGTTTTGTAGAAAACATGGAAACACCAAAGATGCTTTATGTTGTGCGTTTTATTAGACAGGTGACGACTGCACAGAGTAGCATTATAACAGAACTTTCAAACCTATCTAGTATGATAAAACAACGCTGCTTTACCCCACATACGCACAACCGGAAGGAGTGGAAGCGCTAAAGTGTGGCATAATAAAATCTCCGCTGCTTTCGAGCCGTGTGTCACTCTTGTCTCTCATTAGCAATTGCTTCAGCGGCCTCGTTTCGCTTCGACTGCTTTCCGCCTCACACTGCTTCATACTACGATGTTAATAAATCTTTAATACATTAGCTCATCCATGAACATGATTTCTGCCTGAGTCCCGTCAGATTGAGTCGCCTGTGGGGATGAAGACGACAACTCCCATGATTCCACATTCAGTCACGGCGTCATCAAACTACACCTTTGTTTCTTAGTTTGTTTTGAATACGCGCCCTCTAGGGGTGAAAACTTACATATTGTACCTTTAAGTAGTATCTACTGCTAAAGGGCATATTTGGCAGAATCACTGATAGTACCTCCAAACATTTAAGATCTCTCACACTTGGAATAAATAACACTGGGTAATTCTAAACCCCAGGTAAACAGGATCCTGAGTAACCATATTTTACATTTCACACTGTTCATATTTTACCTAGAGTTAACAATTAATCTTGGTCATTCATAATCTGACGAATTCTTCAGATATTCTGCTTTAAATACAACTAAATAAAGTTTGTCAAGACAAACTTTAGGTTGGCTTGAGAAAGCCTAGCCTGAAAGTTTAAAGCAGCTGTAAAAGCTTGAAGTCTGAAAATTTTGATAAATTAGAAAATTAGCATGTTGCTAGAATGATTAGCATGCAGTTAGCATGTTGTTAATCATGTTTCTAGCATGATTAGCATGTAGTTACCATGTTGCTAATCATGTTTCTAGCATGATTAGCATGTAGTTAACATGTAGAGCGCTAACCGCGCCGGAGCGTGGAACTTCAGATACATGCAGCATTGCGTGTACATTTCTGAGCAGCAAAAGTGATAGATCTGTAAAGTAATATATTGTGAGAGGGCTGTGTATTACCGCGTCCCAAATGACTCAAAATAATAAACCACAAAGTTAACAAAATGATGCACTCTTCACGTGCCATCGGAAACTTCCTATTTCCCACTTATGAAGTTGTGATTACGGGCACGTTGCATTCTTTTCTGTTAAAAACAACAGTGAACAGTGGTTTGTGAATGTTGATGCTTAGCCTAAATAATTTTATCGGGAGCGTTCATGTGAGCGCTGTCTTAGGCCCACCCCAAATGCTCTCATTTGTTCGAGACGCATGATGACGCCCATCACAAGTCAGTACTGATCAACATCCCACCACTCCTGTGACCCATGGTTTGTCACATGCCTGCAAACTTTGGAGAAAAAACTTGAAAAGTGCTCTTTCCCCATTTTTGAATGGTTACCATTGGCACATAATGCAACAAAGATTGTTAAAGTCAACAGATTTCACTAATAGACCTACCAATCTCGGTGTAAGAGTAACATTATGATGCTGCCATCTTTCTGAAGTAATTTTTAGCCCCCTGTAAATTGGCTCTGAATCTCAGGTGAAAATTGCCATTTTGACCCCCCTCTACAAAAAAGCGGATTAATCAGTAAATATTCATCCATGACATTTAATATTTTGGCTTTCATCACTATACATGCTTATCTTTTTTCAGAAAAAATATTAGCAAAATCAAAAATTTGAGCCAGGGAAGTTTCTGAAATTTGGTTGATTTGACACGGAATGACCCAATAAGCATTTAGGCGTATTATAGCCTATTCCGCGCTCAAGCACGCACATAAAGCTTGCTGCAAAGCACCGGCATGATTTGAATGCGTTGGGGGAAAAAGAAGACATTTTAATTATTTATTACTAAACTAGTGCTTTCTCAGTCAGTGTCGGCTGCAAAGATGAAGTTGCCGAATGCTGAAGCTGACTGGTCATCTCCACAGTTATGGACGTGCCTTTAATAGAGAAATGCACTTTTTCGGACTACATAGACTAATTAGAGAAGATTTGTTTTTTATTTTAATTGGTTCGTTTAATAGTAGACATTTCAAGCTTTCTATAGATTTATTTCTTATTACTGTGAGCCTGTTCATTGTTGTGATCCATTCATGGAGACTGTATGAAACGGCAGATAGCACATCCACAAATGACGGAGTATATTAAGTTCTCTCCGCAGGAAAAAAAAAATAAATAAATGATTGCGCAGGCGCCTCCATATATATATATATATATAATCAAACCATACAGTTCTCCACACACGATTCGGCACACACTAGGACCGCGGTTCAACTTAAATCTGACAAAGCATCTGTAAGCTCACACGCGCAGTAAGATTTGTGCGTGCGCTCATCCAAAGCGCGCAAACCCACACCTCAGAACACGTGCAAATATTAAGCTCTCTCTGAAGTATTGTGTTTGAATGGACAAATTCACACAAAAATGATGTCAAAATGCCCGTCTTGTTAAGTATCCTACAGCAGACATAGCCGGCTGAACGTTCTGTATCAGTGCACTGGATCAGTACATGCTCTTAAAGTGACAGCACTTTCTTAATGTTAATCATACAGAAACAACAAGGAAAACACTCACTGCTCGATTTAATTGCTTTTGTAACTTTAATAAAGATTAATCTTTCTTTTATACAGTAAAATATGCAATGCTATTTCACATTTGATTATTCAATTTCTGTACCTAAAAACTAATGTTAGACCTACCTAAAAAATAGGTGTGCTCCGATTGATTGGCTACCGATCACTATCGGCCGATAATCGTTTTGGGATGATTGATCGGCGGCCTCTATAAAGGCCGATCTCAAAAAAACGATCTCAAGCTGATGACGCGCCTGCCGTGAGAGGTTTGGCACGACATGCAGCGGCACCTCTCAGTCTGTCTGGCGCGGGTAAAATAATTATTATGCTGAAGGTGAGGTGCAACTCATATTTCTTCATTAAATAACAGCGTGAGTGAATCACTGCGCGCGCGCTCTCTCTCTCTCTCTCTCTTTCCCTCTCAAAATGCGCAAATGGCTTCAAATCACATCGCGTCCGTACTATAAGCGAGCTGCACGCTGCACAGTTGACATAGGAATTGTCACTTGCACAATCGCAGCAGTGTTGCATCATCACTAAAGTTTATAAATTGCATTTCTTTTTAATTCTTGCCAGTGTTTAACCATTCAGCGCTCGCGCGCTCTCCTGGAGACCGTGCGCTCATGCACGAGCAGTGCGTCTGCAGAGCAGAGATCGTTTCCGCACCGAGTCTGTTTTTGCTGTGCTGCAAGCGCTGAATTAAAGTAACAGCACATTGTTTGCGATAAATATGAAAACGAAAATGTAGTAAATACACCATAAATGCATACAATTAAAGTCTACTGTGTTTCACAGTCAACAACTTGGCTTGTTGGCTAGTTTTAAAGGAAAAAAGCACTTTTAGATAAACAAGGCAATAATAGATGGTAATAAAGATTCAAAAGCAAAAGGAAAGGCAGTAGAGCTGACTGTTTCTGTCAGTGGTAAGTTTGAATTTAGAATGTAATGTTAGAACGTTATGTAAGAAAAGTATTTAAAATGTTTTGGCACTTGCTTGAGCAACTTTTTTGTGCTGTGTGTAAGCTATTGTGCAACAATTGCATGAGTGTAAAAACAAAAATGCGCTGCATGATCGAACATTTAGGTGAGATTAATTTATTTTTGAAAAATGTCTAAAAAATGCTCCCCTCCACCCCTCAAATTAAAAAGAAAATCCCCTCTCAGAAGAGTCACCTATAAGAGGAGAATTCCCCCCATTTTCAAAAATGAAATTCAGGCTCTGAATAAATGTCTAAAATTCCTGATTGGAGTATTACTATAAATAATTCTACATGATAAAAAATAAGGCTTTAAAAAGATCGATATCGGTGATCGTATCGGCAGATACTGCTTTCTTCATTGAACTCTTTGAAACACTTCGAAGACTTAAAGTTCAGTCGTTCATCAGTGGGCCACTCCCAGCAAGAGGAACTAATATGTTTTCACGTTTGCTTGGGCTGAACACATGGCTACAAAGAATCTGCAGCTTAAAAGGAGTCAATTTCATCGATAACTTCAATCTTTTCTGGGGCCATAGACAACTGTTTAAACTGGACGGCCTCCACCTAAACAAACTTGGTGGCTTCAGACACGGGTCACGACGAGGCGTTCCCCATAGCGACCCCTAGAGGACGCAGTGTCTCTTTCCCTACTCAGGGAACCATGGTTACATAAGTAACCTGAGACGTTTTTCCCTAAACATAGCACATACCGAACCGTACTGAAAACCTTGATACTTTAAAACCGTGATACAAACCGAACCATGAGTAAGTTGAACCGTTCCACCCCTAATACACATACACAGCTGTTCAGAAGTTTGGGATCAGTAAGGTTTGTAAAGTTTTAAAGAACTCTCTTCTGCTCATCAAGGTTGCATTTATTTGATTCAAAATACAGAAAAAACAGTAATATTGTGAAATATTATTGGAATTTAAAAATAATGGGTTTCTATACTTTAAAACATAATTTGTTTCTGTGATGCAAAGCTGAATTTTCAGTATCATTACTCAATCTTCAGTGTTGTGGTGCTTAATATTAATTTTTTCTGTCTGGGGTCTGTGACACTTTTTCAGGATTCTTTGATGAATAAAAGTTTAAAAAAGAACAGCATTTATTTAAAATAAAAATTCCTCCCACCCCCTTTTTATCATATTGTTATAACTCATATCCGTTAGCTTGGTCAGTATCTTTTTGTGGTTTATATA